TTTATTGATTCAAAATGGAACGAAATTATTTCATAATCCAGAATAGTGATTACATGTTGTTGGCTAACTGAAGATTTTGAATTTCATAAAATCTTGTTGAATACAAAAGATTGGTTTGATGACAAAATTCTAGATAAATGGGAATTAACTAATTTGAAATTTATTTGTATTGCAGATGAAGTAGTTAAGTTGAGTGAGTTTGACGATTTTGACAATTTTGATATAAGTTAAAAGAAAAGTACCTAGAATTTATACGTGTAAACGAAGATGATGATATTGGTAGCAATTATTTCATAGTAGCAGATTAAAGAGAGGGGCCAAAGAAAATACCAATTCTAAAGGAAATTCTAAAATTATCACAGTTGTTGTACCTGTTATTTATTGACTCAACCTGTGCTCGTGGATATTCATTTAAAACTTCTTTTGCACAAAAAAAACCACTTGCACATGTGTATCTTGTACAAAAAATTTTAAACACTGCTCATATCTTGACAAAATTTGAAGCTATCTTGATGAATTAATATTCAGAAGAAAGCTTAGATAGTAAGCTTTCTTTGACTATTAAATCATTAAATAGCTTCAAAGTAATTTTTTTAAATGTCAATCTGTATTCTAAATAAATTATACAATATATAACAATAATCGTGATGATGCTCATTTATTATAATTAATAAAAATAAACATTGCAATTGATACTTGAGCGATTTATTATTATTTTATTTATATATCAAATGCCATTGGCAAAAATTAATAAACCAAAAAAAAAAAAAAAAGTCAGTTAAGCATGGAAAAACATCCATCCAGAATTCACCAGTTTTAGATCTTCATTGATATTGGGTTATTGTACCAAATGAAGAAATTATCTGCGAAATAGTTGAACTTGTTGCTATATGATTAAAGGCTAAAAGTCTACAATTGTTCTTTGGGTCTCTTGCGTTTTTTAATTTCTATAAAAACTTTCAGCATAAGGAGTAAGATAATAATTTATTGGTATCGAGAGTTTGGATCCATAACTATTATTTGAGCGATTTCTATGAATACTCAATTACTGTAATTGTAACTTTTGCCAAGCCAGAGATGAAAAAAAAATGGTTTGCGGCAAAAAGTTTGTAAATTGAAATGATAAACTCACTTAATATTTTTTACTAATAAAAATATATTATCGACGTAATAAACTTTATTAAATTACGATTATCATTTAAATATTCATTATGATGACAAACACATTTGACCTACTAAAAATATTTTCTGCCAAATAAATTTTATTTCCTGACACTTTTTGCCCCATTGATTAAGGGGCTTGAGAACACCCTTAATCAAATTGGCTGAAAAATCATTTAAAATATATTGGCAAATTCTTGATTATATCTAACTTTTCAATTATAAAAGTTTATTTTATATCCCGGAGCCTTTTTTATATTTCTTGTCAAGATTTATTGGCTGATAAGAACTGCCTTTTTCCGCATAAACTAAACACATTATACATTTTGGGCAAGTATTCAACCAAAGATTAATAAAGTTGAATATGTCGAAATTATAATGATAAAGTTATCGTAGGACAAAGTATATATAAAAATATTATTTATATAAAAATTATTAGCATAGCTGAATTAGTCGAAAACCACCTACCCTAATGTAGCTTACATCATGAATTTTTTTTTATATAATTACTAGGTAAAATGCTACATAAATCTATATAATCTTATATGACTAAACATAACATCTTACAAATATTTTATGAATTCTACGGACCTTCAGTAATACTACACAAAAAGAAGCATAACAAATAAATTTAAGTGACTTTATGCTTACATAAATTTATATCTATGTAATGCTATATAAATATATGGATTTGTGACGTATCCCCATGCTAAATTAAATTGAATAATGTTTTTGAGTCAAGCAATGAAAAATACTTGCATTTTTGACCGCCAGTTAACGAAAATTAATAGGAAAATGTTGGATTAATAATGCAGATATTTCTCTGAGTAGTGACTACTTACAGTATTACGGCTATGACGTACTAACCGAGGTTATATTGCTGTGAGTGATGTATGCCTTATAACGTTACTACCTTTTCAAGTGTTTTGTATGAGATGATTCACGCGCTTTATTGCACAGTTATAAGCAATTTTCGTATACTATCCAACCAGTTGCTGAATATACATATCCAGATCCTCTTTTATCGATTTCTTTAATATTAGATACCATATAAGTGCAAAATAACGCCCACCTTGATTGACCTGCATCGAAATAAGAGTAGATTTTCTAAATCCAATACAGTCAACCTTCCATAACTACACGTTTTTGGGTAAAAGTATATTGTTAGCGGCGAAAGGCGACAACACAAACTAACTAATCACCCACAAAAAAAACATACAAACTTAAACTTAACCTACACCTCACGATATACTTGGCAAGGCAAGGCTAAATCAGGTATAATGTGGGTTAAGCAAATGACTTTTATACAAATACTCACTACTCTTTATTAGGGGCAAAAAGAGCTCATTTTATAACAATTTTTACATATAAGGAAACAAAAGAATGAGTTCAAACTTTTTCTAGTCTAAGCCCATCGCACAGTATCACGCCATTTTTGCGGCTTTGCCTCCTCTGGCTAAGTTTTTGGCACTACCCAAGCCCGAATTGGTTTAGGCTATCATAATTTCAATTATTCTTTTCTTCGTGGCTCTTGTGGCTTCTCACTATCGATTTCTTTGCGATTTTGTGACGGGTTCTTCGGTGAATCTTTCGTCATATTTTTGGGCCTCATGACGTCAAATTCGGCGCAGTGAATTTTGTTGGTACAGTCAAGCACAATATTCATATAACGATAATATTAAATAATTACATTAGACTGATCAAATTATGCGTACTTATCATTATAGAGAAAGTGCACTTACAAAGAGTGCACATGTGGAGTGTTGATTGTATATCATTTATCGCTTGTGCCACATTAGAATTCGCAGGACGCTAATGTCTGAAGGGTTCGATTTTCAAAATAACACCATAAACGTTATTTCACACTTATATGGTAATTTATTGAATGAAATTCGTTCAATTACATTCTCATGGTTCTAAGCTAAAACTCTCTGATACAATTATTTAATATTCTCATTTTTGCTTGTCAGGATCACATGTCAAACACCATCTTTATTACAATATATAATTTAGGTTACCATTTTAATAATCGTCAAATATAATATATATTTTTTTATATCATTTAAAAATTTATTGTAATACGTACTGACCAAATATAATGGTGATTTGAAAAGCATTAGTTAGTAGTAAATAAGTGTTTGTAAACATGAATCACTTTTTAAATCTACCGATTAATAAATTATTGTTATTAAATTAAGGATACAGTATTTATACGGCTGGGGTAGCTACCTCTAAATTTCTAAATGTCTGCACTTCTAGTTAGGATAAAGATTTGAAAAACTATCCATCAGCAGAGGAACTCAGCGAAGTTTTAAAAAATGACAAGATGATGAATAGGTTTTTTTAGATCTAAACAAATTCGAACAATTGAAATTGCTACAATTTTGCATACACTTGATTAAATTATTTTACCAACTTTAGCAGAACTACATGAATTTTTAAAGAGAAGGCAGATTCTGAAGATCCTTTCAGAATTAGATGAAGTCAACCTAATAATACCTGAATCTATTAGAAAGTTAAATAAAAATGCTTTTAGTGGAAGCAAATTAATTTCTAACTCAAAATTTTCAACAATTGGTTTTTCAGAATTTCAAAATTAAAATAATTAAAAAATTATAGTCCTTGTTTCGAAAATAGAAGTATTAAAAATGAAAGTAAATTCAACTATTTGTTCTAATCAGTTCTTTATAAAATTGAATGGATGTACAGATTATATTTCTACAAAGAAATTTCTTTGTCACAGGCACAAAACAGTTTCCTCTGACAAAGATTTTTTTATAATCGAGAAATGCAAGAACATACTTTATTTCTGAGCTTTTATACAAATGTGAAACTTGACGAAATCTTTTTATAATAATGTTTAGACAGACAAGCTCGAGAAGCATTAGATACAATTCCAAATTTCCATCCTTTTATTTGTATATATTTATATGCATGCTCAAATGTGTTTTTTTTTGCTATAAACATATTATATTACGCCCAGAATTGAGAGAGCGATATGAGCATGTGCAGATTAGCTTCAGGTGTAGCATAAGTTATGCAGGATGTGTGTTTATTAGGGGATTCGAGTTTAATGATAGTTGGTCATTAAGGAAAGTGGAATCATTAAAGATAATCGGCTTATATGTAACCCTACATTTTGTCCTTCTTTCCATCCTCCACTGCTATTCCTCCCACTATTTATATCTATGCATTTATGACATTTCCACTCTTATCCAATTCAGATACAATTAATCATAAAGATAAAATGAAGTAACTAATGAGACACGACGCGAAAATGATTACTTATTACCAAAACTTACTGTAATACATACCAATCAAGCCTTTTGGAGAAACCGCACCACGCCAAATTTTTTTTCGATTTAAATTTTAATTTAGATTTTTTTTTTATAAAATTTATAAATTTATAAATTTTGCAAATTCCAAACCATATGTAAACTAAAAATATAAAAAGAGTAGTTTGAGTTCCAAAAAAAAAAACCTCAAAGTCATAGAAGTTTCTGTAGCTATCGATTAATTCAATCTTAACAAACATTCAAGTCCCGCCATACTAAGAAAAGACCAATAATTCTATTAGTAACCACCCAAGAGAGTGTAAGGATTAGAAGAGTAAAGACACTACTAGCAAAGAAATACTTATCTGAGTTACTAATTATGTCACAACAAGTCCACAATGCTTTTGATACTCAAACCAAGTCTTTTCACGTCTCTTTCTGGCCTGCCACTTCAAGGTTGAGGAGTCTTGACGATTGTTATATTGTTTTAGCCTTTTAGATTAGTTAACTATCGAAATAATAATTTGGCCTGAATTAAGCTCAATTCGGACCAAAATTCAAAATAACGCCCCTGCGCATTATTTCGCGAATTACAGTAATTGGTTTTTGTCATCACCCTATTAGTCACCATTTTTTCAGCGGTCACGGGAGTGGGTCCAAAAATCTTTAGGGTCAAAATTTTGAATCACTATTTCTAGAATTTTTACTTAGCAATGGAAGCTATTTAAGATCCAATTCAAAAAAGAAGATTGCAAATATGTTTAAGATGGCATTATCTATAACAAATGCAGACAACATATTATATTATTACAATATGTTAATAGAGTAATATATTTAAAATTATATATTTACAAAAATGATAGATACAGTCT